ACCACTTATTGTACTTACAATACTCATTTGGCGTCAGAGAGTTCCATTGTAGGCTTTTTAGCGTTTTAATTGCTTACTTTTACTCTATTTTACGTGACCTAGGGCTCGTGTGAGTGGTAGGAGGCGCCCTACAACACACACGTGGAATCGATCGCCGCGCCCATGGGCCCAAATAGCCTTCCATCCCTCTGGGGTCGGCAACTTAGTGCCAGACTTGTCTGGGAGGACGGGAGCACTGACTCGGTTCATCGCTAGGCAACCGAGAGTCATTGTTTAAGCCAGGTTGCATTCACTCACCTCTAACGATGTTTGATTTAAGTCGTATCCCTTACGGGTTAACCAAGATTCTCTACGCTTAATTATTCCAAAGCAAAGAAAGATCTAATCAGTATGAGTCATCGTAGCTAAATCTTTGCAATAAACGCTGTTTAGAATCGGGATGGTTTCACAGGAAACATAAGGCGTACTTTTTATGTCAAATATCGTGCAGGTGCCAGTATTTCTTCATTGTAAAATATCCCCGACCAAATTCTTTTCGCGGTAAATCTCACAAATAACACAAAAGGTCGACTTTCTATAAGCCTCGGCATCATCTCTCTTGAACAACACACGGGTGGTCTAACGGCAAGGTTCTGAGGAAGGCGAATTCGCCGAAACGTCAGCCATTGTTGAACAAAAACAGCAGCAACGACAAGAAGCTCTATGCCAACCTCGCGTTGGCTAAATAAAGGGCACTTTGTAAGGGCATGTATACAGAACCATACATATACATATATCTACATGCACATACATACATATATACTCATATATACAGAACCCGTTTGGTGCTATTCCTTTGCTATGGAATTATCCGTTCCTGGTTACAGGAATGAATAACGCTCGAATCTCACCATTTTCTCGGCCTTTCGAAAGTTTGTTGTCTTTGGCTTTTTCTTGAATTCTTTTGTGAAGTATCCACTGTAGCAAAAACTAGTACGATAATCCACCGTAACTTTAACAATCTCCTTTGCAAGCCTGACTTTGTGAGGGTAAAAGTCGTAGGTTTTTGACTTCCCAGTACCAGCTCCACAAATTGCTATGAAGAGAAAGTTCTATGGATTTCACTTTTATTAGAACTACATATAGGATTCCGGAAGAGACTAATGCTCGACCACTTCTCTTGAAGAAATTTGACCCTATGGAATTTGTTCTGCAGGAATAAAAATCTATCGAGTACTGCTGCTAGAAACTGGTCTTCTTTTCTTTTCATGATCTGCCTTTACGTAAAAAATATTTCATAACCGGCATTTAATAGTTTTAGGGAATTCTTTGCGGTAGTTGGTCAGTACTTGTAAATAGCACGTTAGTGGTATTCCATAGGTAAGAAATTTATTCAGTACATGTGAATAAATAACGAAAAAAACGCTCGCTGTCATTCAAACTGAGAAATTCTGTGGGTGGATTCGTACAAAGATAAGAATCACATGTGCTTCCTTTGTAATGACGAAGGCTAGCCTCCTCTTTGCGGATTGCTCCAGTTCCTTTAGAGGAACCCTTCTACTAGGTCAGAAGATTCCAGTGGATTCGGACATTGAAGTTGTGACCACGATACCGAAGCTTCATTCTTCGACAACCGTCTCTAGGGTCGGTTTCGGTAGCAGTGCGATTCTATGGCATCGTGAATGTTGTTGTTCACTGCATTCCAACTCCTCGAGAATAGTTTCTAAGGTAGGAGAGAATGGTGTCCTGGATGGAAGTCGTTTAGTTGGACCTGAAAAATAAGTTATTTCATCTATATTTAGCTATTGGGCTAAGGTGTGGTATTAATCAAGTATTTTTTAAGCACTTAGGTGAAGACGATAAAGTACTAAGAAAAGCACAAATGGTCTCACCACGAAGTTTAGATGAATTTGTCGGTAATTTCGATCCAACGACACGATAAAATGTCACATATTTTACGGAACTATTATTCATCAAATCTGTAAAGACGAGGCAAGGTGTATTAGTACTAACTTTTTAGAATCATATCTGTTCTAGAGTGGGATACAGAATCTCCAATATAAAAGAGGATAAAGCTCTCGGCGTTGATCAATCCCTGAATGATGTGCCATGCATTCGACTTCATTAGGCATCGTTTGGAGCTGATTGAATGCATATCTGGCCTTTACAATGGTTCGCGGTGGCCTACAATATATCGAACTAGTGCTACTATCCTCCTAGACAAGTCCGGTATCAATTCGCAGGGCCCGGAGGGATTGAAGGCTTGATGGGCCATGGGCGCGGGGATCGATTCCACGTGTGTGTTGCAGGGCGCCTCCGACCACTGCGCCAAACGCGCCCTTCCAATATACAAATAGAATTGTAAACGTTTGATATAAATAGAGTATGAAATGCATCATAAAGATTTAATACAGTCAGACAATTTAGCGGCTCCAAATATCATCATCAGTCTTCAATTCAGTTGCGAATTTAGTGGTCCCTGGCGGCTGGCACCAAGCACCTGGCGAAGCACGACACGACTTATTGTTGAGAATCAGGTCGCCATATAGTACTAAACCGTCTAGTAGTTTGTGATAAACGATGACATCGGCAATTCCTAGTGGTGCCTCTTAAACGGTCTTTTATAAAGGAGCGTAATAGTGTGGGAGGGTTGACCATGTGCGTTGATCGGAACAACTTTCGCTCCACCCCGATTACTTACTGAGTCTTTTGAAAGGTTCAGGGTCAAATATTAGGCAGAGAGCAAAAATCACATAATTGAGCAATCATCAGTGAAATATAACTGTGATTACATTGAAGCTACTTGGCAGATGTGAAAAAAATGATGGAGGCATCTTCATTTCAAGTTGAAATGAGTGCTCTGGTCAGACCACGACTTTCACGATGCTCAATTTCAGAGATGTTTTCGCTGTGCATGGTGTCCTTTGCTGTCTGTTTTGATCCCGCGCCTAGCGTACCCAAGTCCGCTATCAGCTCTCGAAGATCGGCAAAGTGATACTAGATTTCACCGAAAATTGAGAAATACTGACGTGATTCATCGATACGGGCGCATCCTTGAGGGATTGACGCAGAACGTGTCAGTTTTACCCTTCCGCTAGGCGATGAGAAGTATTCTTCATCTGAAATAAATGATATGATAAAGTAAAAATATCGCATCCTATCATTCCTTACACATTCTTCTTTTGGTTAGTCGTGCAACACCAAACGCTTTCGATGCATGCGTTCCTGCAACACCTATTAACATTCGGGGATATGCATGGAATTTAATGCATAGGTCCCAAAAATTGTTATACCTCTCACGTTTAGTCAAATATACTGTGGTTCATTGCCATCATGAATAACCGAAAGTCTTTGCTAAGAGTGAACAGCTTCGTTTTATAACGATAAAATTCTCAGTTTTCGGACCAACTGGGACGAATATTTTGAGTCTCTAACCAAATTTCAAGCACCGAATGCAATCGTTATGTCATAGGATAGAAGGCAACGATGTCCTTGAGTGTATCGTCAATACTTGCATCTGCAGCATTTGCTTCATATTTTAAAAAAATAAAATTTTTGTCTTCAATTCTTTGTGAGATTGAATTCTAAACAACTTTATACTTAGAATGGCATATTACTAGAATCGTTCTTATCCTTAGGGTCTTAGGTAAAGGTCTTTTTAAAAAACTTACCAATTCCTCCAGTCCTCAAGTGCTAAAAAGTGGCTAAAACTTTATGCACAGCGCAGATAGTGGTGGTGATCCCGTTCAGTACGGAGCGAAGGGCTAGTTTAGCCCTCCCCGGACGTACTAAGTTGCCATCCATCACAGGTAGGGATATTATTGCCAGACTTGTTTGGGCTTGGATCACTCCTTCCCAATCCACATGGGAACGCTTTAGCGTGGCTATCCCAGGATTCCAGAGAGAACAGACTCGAACAACATTCAATGGCATTCATGACGAAGAAGAAAATCCTCAAACAACAGTGAAAGCCACATGGGCTTCAGTAACCTATCTAAAACCTAAGAGTCGTACAAAGAAGGCGGTGACTATTGAAAATATCACTTACCACTATCACTATCAATATCACAAAGGAGCTCAAACGGATATTAATAAAGTTTTTTGCTTCTCCGTTATCGGAGTTGAACGAGCTCTGTGGGCATGATGCATCATCACTTAAAGGAGTGCTATTACGGTGTAAGGTGTAGAACTCTCTCACAGTAGATCCAAGAGTTGTTTGCTGGAAATGACTCAAAATATCTTTTTTGCTTATTCACTTGATGATACAAAATCGTTAGCGGTTTGACGTGCAAGATAAATCCCTAAATAGAAGGCACACCCACCACTTGCATGAGCATGTGTTCGTGCAAACAAAAGAACCACTTGTCATAAATCTACCGTCCATCTCATCGCTAGTGCATTTACAACCACTGCTACTCTAAACACTTATCGTCCACCTTCAAAACCGCCAAGTATATTCGGCAGACGCGTCATCTCTTACAACAAGAAGATCGTTTGATTTCTCCTTAACTCCTTAAAACTCGAAGAGTGACTTCTATGGGTTTTGTCTTAAAGTTGTCAGAGTGCCCAGTATGACCTCCATAGGTTCCATTTTGCTTTCAGTGGCTTATTTAAAGCATAGAACTGTTTCCCCTTGCTTCCTGTTACCAGTGGATAAATTCTATAGCACAGATGTACTTGATGTTGGTCGTCAAAGCTCTATTCTCCACCTAGAAATGTACAAAAACCAGTCTTCCGAACGCTTTCAGGGAATAGAAATTTCAGAGGCAATCTACCGTAATTTTAATTTTAATTTCCATAGTGAAATAAGAGTGCGTGTGGCGTAGTGGTCTGCAACACATACACGGGATCGATCCCAGCACCCGTGGCCCACTAAGCCTTCCATCCCTTCGGTGTCGGCAGATTGGTAACAGAGTTGCCTCGGAGGATATCACCAGTTACTAGATACATCGGTAGACCACCGCGTGTCATTGTAAAAGCCAGACATACATTCTGTCACCTCCAAACAATGCTTAATGAGGTCATCCCTCATTAAGCATCGTTTGGGGGTGGTAGAATGTATATTGCATGGCATATTGCATGGCGCATCCCTCAGGGATTGTTCAACGCCGAGGGCTTCTTTTAGCTTTATAGTAAAATATTGAAACATAGTTATTGCATAGAGTGTATGGGCATAGAAAATGCTGAAATAGAGATCTCTAAGTTGCAAAACACTTTAAAATTGAAAAAAGCGCAATTAGGCGTCGAGGTGAGGGTTTTAAGAACTGCTTATTAAAACATCTATCACCTGATAGAAACTAGAGCTCTTGCCTAAGTTTTCGTTCACTTAAATAAAAACTATTCGCAAAAAACGTGCGGGCGTCTTCTTAATCTTCATTTGAAACGTGCTCAGCCAATTGGGCAAACTGCTTTCCTTGAGGTGTTAAGATAGAAATGCTGAACAGGAGTGCCTAGGTTCTTAGCACAAACCATCGCCGACTGTTTTGAATCAAATGAACGTTTGTATCTTTTAGACTAGGGACTTCTTTCGAATAAATTTGTGCAAGACTATCGTAGCTTGTTGTTTAGGGTTACGTTGTGACCAGATATTTCCATCAGGATATCCTTTAAGAGTAAACTAGCGCCAGGAATTGCTGTCATACTGGTTATAACATAGTTCCTGGGTCATCAAGTGCTAAACACTTAAAAAAGCCAAAATACGAGCTTTCAAGGTTCAAGACGAGAAAGTTTTAGCAAGTAGCAAATTACAACTCAAGTGGAATTGGCCTCAGCTCGCACGATTCTTTGCGACTTTTAGAGATAGTGGTCTATAGATAAAAGCAGTGTAAGACTTCTATCAAAATAACGAACTTTGTAGCAGTGCTGAGTTATATTACGGACGAAAATCTCAAACTCTGCCTTAGTTTGAATGACCTTATTAAATAAAATCTCTGGTGCTCATTGTCATCGAGGAAAAATCACGTCACCATCGTCACGATGATATGGCAAACCATTGCAAGGTTTCAGTCACGCAGTCAGCATAACGTCGTTCAACGCCAACATCTGAAAAGCATAATCTAAAGCGACAAAGTACAACTAGCCAATAACAATTCCAATTGTCAACACCGGAGCACCTGAAAACAGACCGAAATATCTAGGAAGTTTGTGTACAGAACTATCCACAGCGAATTAGGAGAAAAAAGACACCAATCAGCGCTGCTCCAGGAATCTCGTGAGGTTCATCAGCTTTTTCCAAGTTTCTCGTTAGAACTAAAATTTCAGTCTCGACCACTACGCAGAGATACATGAGATGTGGTCATGCGCAAACGTAGACGTGAATTGGAAAGCAAATTTAGTTTTCAAAATAGGACAATAGAACTTTGCACCAGCGGCTTAAAGCAAAGAGAACATCATTTACCACCACCACAAACACCACTCACCGCTTTCTATGATCTTCCACTGAATATGCCACGTGGAGGCCAGCTGCACAGAGTTCATTTGGAAGCGTAATATGCCTCTCGTAATCACGCGTGATCTCATACATTATTCAAGGCTGATTTTTCAATGTGAGAGGCACATTAGGCTTCCATGTGAATTCTGTGCGGTTGGCCTCCACGTGGAATGTTCAGTGGAAGACTCATGGAAAGCGCTGAGTGAGCAAACAAGCTATTCTGTGTTCAATGTGATTGGAATCTTGGTTTAGCACTTTCTATTTGGTTTTGGAGGTCTTCGGTTGAGTATATTGCAGTGAACTGATGAAACGTTTGCTCATCAAGAGCACTGTGAATTATTCAACTAATGGCGAGGTTACTACAAAGTCGGCCGTGGGAATTACGCTGTAAAGGGCCTCGGTTGGTGTGGAGTATAGAGTGAACCCCCGGAAAGACTAATCGAGAGTTCGAGACACAACGAAGGTTCTGAGAATTAAGTGGGTGCGTGGTGCACAGTGGTCAGAGGCATCCTGCAATAAATTTGGGATCTATCCCTGCCTCCCAGACTCACCAAGCCCTCCATCTATCCGGAGTCGAGAAACAGGCACCAGACTTGTCTAAGGAGTGCTGACTGACTCAATACATCAGTAGGCCACCACGAGTTTTTGTAAAGAACAGATATGCATTCAATCACCTCCAAGCGATACTTAACGATGTCGAATGCATGGCGCATCCCTCAGGGATTGATCAACGCCGCGAACTTTATCCTTCTTTTATGTAATCCATGTCCAAGTAATATATTAGATTTCAAAACAGCCATCATTATCGGACACTTAACAACCTCACGCTTGACATTATGTGTCGACAGGAATCTAATAGTAGTTTTTGGCACGCTATTTTACTACCATTTCATCGACCTTGAAGTAACGGAGTGGCACGATCTGCCTAATATGGAGCCGAAACAGGTATTGTAAACCCACGTGGCATTAGGGTAAAATGGTCGCAAATGCAGATTTTTCCAGTGTGATATGAATTGATTGGCTTATCTGGAAGGGATTTCTCATATACTTATCGATACATTTAGATATATGTAGATGATTTATATATATATACATATACATATATATGTATGTATATATAGAAAACTATTGGGATTATGTAGCGCAGTGGTCTGAAATGCCCAGCAATACAAATGCTGCTGTCGGTTCGATTCTGGAACTTGACATATCCAAAAACTTTATTATGTGATCAACAGTATAACGCTCTCTCCGTCTCGCCGTTGACTGAGGGATGCGCCATGCATTCGACTTCATTAAGCACCGTTTGGAGGTGATCTCGCGGTGACCTAACGATGTATCGAGCCAGTGCTGCTATCCTCCCAGACAAGTCTGGTACCAATTTTCCGACCCCGGAGGGATGGAAGGCTTAGTGGGCCATGGACGCTGGTATCGATTCCACGTGTATTTTGTAGAGCGCCTCCGTCCATTGTCCTCCGCCATCCACACGCGCTCCTCAGGCCTGGTATGCTTTCAGTAACAACAGCGATGCTCAGTGGTTGCATGGGGAATCCTAAGAAATTAGTTAATACCAAACTACTTTTATTATCCTTTCTACGAATACACAAGGAATCGGAGGAAGCGGTGATCAACGACGTACACTTTATGCTTTATCATTTTCAAGAACATTATTAACGATAGCCTTCGTTCACTTTACCATCTCTGCTCTCAGTTCTGTAACACGAATAAGATAAGTTGCAAATTTATTGCTTGAGTTTACTAACCACGTTATAGAACACGGTATTTTCTGTAATGAGTAAAATATAGAGATTCATAGAAAATTTCAAGTGAAGAATCACGTGAAGCAGATCGGTTCAGATGCGATTAATTTTGATAACCCAATTCACGTTTTCACTCATCGTGTGACATCTTCTTCCTTCAAATTCAAAAATAAAGCCAATCGAGCAGTATTGACCACTTTTTGGACCTTTCATGGAGGATCAGATGGTACTTCAACGAGATTATGATTCGTTTAAAATAGTGATGTTCAAATCAAACTATGGCAAAAAATTGGATGATTAGAAAGCGAAGAACACAATCCCAGGATCCATCACCGTTCTGGCATCAAACTAGTCGCATGGTGTCAAACCTCCCTCTGATCCACGAGGGCGGCGACTGCCTGTGCTGGTGACCGCGGTGGCTAAACCAACAAAACTCCGAAGAAATTGGAGTTATGCTGGTGCCCGCACATCAGTTGAAGATAGACCATCCAAGTATTCAACTTTACAAGAAAACAGTGCTATTGCTTGCTTACTAGCAATCATTAAAAGCTTAGAAGATCTCATACTTATGCAAATATCTCATAAACAGCGAGGAAGGTAGCTAATATTCGTACTTTGTTTTTGATCGAGTGGAGCGTTGTGAATCGTGTAGAGCTTGTCGTAACTGAACTAAAACTTCTACCATGTGCTGATGAGAAAAGGCATGTCTTCCAATTTTTAGCCAGTTTTTATACTCCTTTGATCAATATAATATTTGTTAAAAGATGTTCAGTTTTGATAGGAAACGACTAGTCTTCGGAGGAACTGAAACATAGAGCAATATGAATCAATGACGTGAAAGGAAGGCCATTAAAAAGACTGATAATGATTTTTGATGATATCTCAACGTACCATCAAGGCGTCGTCTTTAAGGAAAAATTAGCAGAATAGGTATATTCGTCTGAGAGCAGTCGGTTTCGATAAAAGTGGTATACACTGTGATTCCGACTTTATTCCAAGAACGATATCCTGGCTCCACATTTAAAAAACTCCTAAAAAAAAACTTACTAAACTAAACTTAAAAAAAAACTAAAAAAAAAAAGAAAAAAAATTTTTCCAGACCTCTTCACCGAATAAGACACAAGTCCATTTCATCCAGCTGTACATAATCTTGAAGATTTATAGTATTATTATGGAATTTCTCAGAGAGTAGTTGCTAAAGTGGGAGGAAAAGTCAGCGGCAGTTGTGGTGAGAGGTCTGACGAATGCAGCAGATAAGGCATAGTTTCCTAGCCCAATTCATTCCAATTTTTTTTTCTGGGCTTACCACAAAACGGTTGACTTTGAGGTATAGTGCCCATTTTCAGTTCAGTGAATTACAGAACTTTTTGCAGTACTATATAAGCTCATAGTCAGTAGGTAGTCAAAATCAGACCAGTGTAGGAGGTGACCGATCACAGCAGCCTTCTCCTAGCCTAGAAGATATACAAAAGTACCTTCCTAGGTAAATTTATTCAACAGTAGCTACGCTGTCAATTAACTCTTGATTTTAATCGCTATGATGTTTCGTGGTTACTGTATTGAAGCACCTGTATAAAAAATAGCTAATCTCTGTCAACATAAGCTGCAAATGAGGCAAACTAGTAAAATATAGCTTCGCTGGAACATTTGCAGACTAGAAGGAAACTTTCTCAACGACTCACAATCAAGGCCCGGCAAGGATTCAAACCTTGACTCTTCGGCTTAGGACACGCGCTTTATACATTATCCCTACATAAAAAAAAGTATAAACCGGGTAGTAGCACTGTGAAACAATGAAGGTAACAAATGTTTATCATCCGTTTATATACAAATTTCATACCAATAGAAATAACATCACTCCTATCGCTGTTTGAGCTCAATTTCATTTTTTTACGATTTACATCGTCTCGAATGCGTGCTTGGATGAAATTAAAAGAAACGAGTAGCTGTAAACTACACAGAGTATCGGAAATTCTCATTAGGACATCAACCCGTCGTTTCAAAGATTCTCATGTTTATTAGAATATTATCTGGCTGTTAACAAGGAGAACTGACTTCTGAAATCATATGATCACCTGACAAAAATCGAAAAGTGACAAAAATAATTCAGAAGGATAAACGAGTGGAGATCGCTAAGAACTATAGAAGCTATTTCAAGGACAAGTGAGGAAGTCCAGTCAACGATTTATTATATACTGCAACTTAACTTCCTCAAAGATATCTGACGATTGAGGATCATCTGAAGACTTTTCTAAATGTTAAGCATGCTCCAGAAAGAAGTACTCTAAAACAGAAAATGTGTACATCAAGAGAGTAACTTTCCAAAAGAAGTAGTTCAGAGTCCCTATGTGAAAACGAACAAAAGCAGAAATGATGAGTCTCACGTATTCAACAAAAAATAGATGATTATCTTGAAGACCGCTGTTATTAGAATGTTTCGTACTATTCGTTCTATTGCCATTACTTTTACTAAGTCTGAAAGGAACGTTTTTGGATTCAACAAGTGGTAACAGGTTAAACGATCCGGGATCGATCATGGTGTCTTCGATCCCGTTTGTGTTCGACTCCGTTACTAAAATAGCAGAGTTCATTAAATCAATATATAGCCAACACAATGACTAGGGGATGCTTACCAATGTTTGAAGTCAGTGTTGATATCTTCTCAGACAAACATGGCGCCAATTTGGTGACCCCGAAGGAACGGAGGGATTGATTTCCGCGAAGCGCGGGACTGAACCGACTACCATGTGTGCATTGCAGGTTTGACAAACTTCAAACACGACTATCGGTTACTGTAACTATCAGATGAGGAGAGCTGAATGCAATGTGGAAGCTTCTCGTATACTATCTGACAGCGTTTAATTCTTCTCAAACGAAGCCATTTGTTACTGGAAATGTCGTTTGAGGATAGTTTACCATGAAAAGGAAGCTCTAAGCTTTGGACTGATCTCGATAGCAAAGGTCTCTAGACCGATACACACATGCCATTTCGTAAAATCGATGATGTGGGGCCTACTCGTAGATCTGCAGTGTCAATATTTCAACAAATTTCTCGCTCTTTACTTTTTTCATCGTTTTGCTATACTTCTATCTTCATAATTCGAAGGAATGCACTTCTACTTCTCAAATTTAGGACTACCTTCGCGCGGCTTCACTTCTTGAAGAGGAACCGTAAGTGTTATGTCTAGTACCAGAGCTACCGTATGCCCATGATCAGCGTTCTGTCATCGAGCGGCAAGTTCCTGTATAAAAGACATTTGAGTGGTGTGGTTTCGAGTCTACTAACAATGTTTCACAGGTGAGGTCGATGTTTCACTTTCATTCATTGCTCCACTATCTCTGCAATTCTTTTCGTGTTCTTTTAGTATAGAAGCATGCAGTTCAGGTTTTTAATATGTTCTGTCTTCATAATCGGCTCGTTTTCGTTCCCAGTCGACATAGAAGGTAGCGGTGAAGAGGCCCAATGTGTATGTCCAGAAGTTGGTACCACGTCTACAACTGCTACTCTAGATGGTGCGCACGTTTCAATACAGAATTCGCTATGCTTAGATGATGACCTTGATGTAGTATCAGCTGGTGCCTCCAGGCTATTGTTCATTGTTATCTTTTCAAATTATCCTTTCGACAAAGATGTTCGATAGGGAGATTTTTGAGCGGTTCACCTTTATTTATATTGTCATGCGAACGCCGTTGATCACATCAAACTATTGTTTTTCTATAATTTTAGAAGATTCTTGTCGAGAACGCTGCGATGCTGAAACTACAACTACAAGCAATGTCGTTCCCACGACTACACTACCGACGAGCAGTTAGTGATCATCTTTTTGTCTCTTCCTAACATATTATCTTGTTTTGATTTCATTATGATCTTCGCATTTGCTTGTAAGTTCGCATGTAGACACTTGGGCCTTTCAAATAACCATACAGCAAAACCTTTCCCAGATATAATTCTGTGAAACAGGTCACGGTGGAATGTCGTGATCCGTCCGTTATCACCGATCAATAGCCTAATATAGGGTTACCGCGCTTGCCTACGGAAACGTTAACGGGACACAAGTGTGTGGGTAATTTCACAGAACGCTCATTTAATTCGGCTTAAACAGACTATACTATATATATATATATATATATATATATATATATATATATATATTGTCGTAGAGCATGGTTGTTGCTGTTGTAATGAAGTTCAAGAGATGCCTACTACCACGCNGTGTGGGTAATTTCACAGAACGCTCATTTAATTCGGCTTAAACAGACTATACTATATATATATATATATATATATATATATATATATATTGCTGGGTGATCGGTGATGGTACTGATCGATAAAACTAGCTGAGACACAGGCGAAACGAAGAACCCGCGTGGTGTTGTGGTGAACGCGTTAGCACCCGGAAAGGATAATAGCGCGTTGTTTCCCACCGCAGACACCTGCGGTCCGGAGTTTTGCAAATATGTTAGCACTATTGTGGTTATATATATATATATATATATATATATATATATTGTCGTAGAGCATGGTTGTTGCTGTTGTAATGAAGTTCAAGAGATGCCTACTACCACGCCATCTACAACAACTACAACACAGGCTCCTAGTGAGTTCATAGGATTTCGCATCTGTTAAAGTTTTTCATAAATTCTATTGAAATGTTAAGGAAAATCATGTTGTTGTTGTCACCGAGGCGAGAGTAACTGCAGGGAACAGGGCCAAATTGTGACGACATCACAGGCTTTTGATTATATACAGCCAGTAAAGCTGAACTTGTAGGCTTTAGCTTTAAAACGATATTTGACTGAACTTTATCCAGAGTCTTGCAACATGTCCAGATGGGTGGACTCGATACGAACAGTCCTGTTATTTCGTGGAAATCAGGAAGATGAGCATGATGGACGCACAGAAATCTTGTGCTGAGAAAGGAAGTACCCTATTCGTGGCCAATTCCGTAGAGGAATTCGTAAGTGAAACCATTAAAGAGACAAGGACGCAATGAAGTAAAAACGTTTCAGAACGAAGTAATGAAGAAAACGCCAACGTACTACTGGAGCTGGGTAGGGTTAGGGCAGGCAAACTCCGTGCCGAAATGGGGCGTCATTGAGCGTTTCGATCCGTAAGTTACCCTTTACACATGTGAAAATTACACAATTCCTAAGGAATAATCAGCCTCAGAAAGGCAGATAGCAATAGAATTAAAACTAATTACTCCTTTCAGCTCGACATTTAAATGCTTACCGCTTGATGATGGCAAACAACCTTCATGGGGAAGCTACGATGGAGTCGACCCATCACAACTGTAAGATACCTGGCGATATTTTAATAGCAGTTCGAGAGATATTTAGTTGTTCAAACATAGATATTATAATTGTATAAGAAAAGATATTATAAGTTCTACTGCTAAGGTTTCAGTTGCTGCTTAATCCTTTATTGCAGAAAATGGCTAGTCAACCCATATTCTTCTACAGTGAATGGGTGGACTCCACTCTCCACTTGCGTCGGGCACTACAACGGAGACATATACTCTGATTACCTTTACTTTTATCCTTGCTCATCGCTGTTCCATTCTGTATGTGAACGGAACTCAACACTGAACTGATTTTTACTTCTCTTCATGTAACCTTTAATCTAACTTTCAAATTGCTTATTGGACCGGTATATTTTGAGGACTCGTTAAATCCTGTATTTCAGCCAATATTTAAAAACTCTTAAGAGTTGACGAATGGTGTATTTACATATTGAAATTTAAAACTAACTTTTTCATGGCACATTTATTACAAGTGAATAAATGTGGTGCATTAAATCTAAACATCTCAAAGGTTGTTTCTGATAGCATTTAAAGCTTCTACGGAAGGACTCATAAAAGGTGCTCTATGAAGAGATACAATGGCGCTTGTGGAGCAGTGGTTGGAGGTTCTCTGCAATACACACGGGATCGATTCTCGCGCACCTGGGCCACCAAGGCTTTCAACCCTCTGGGATCGACAAATTGGTAGCAGACTTGTCTGGGAGGGTAGGAGCACTGGCTCGATTCATCAGTAGTCCACCGCGAGTCATCGTAAAGGCCAGATATGCATTCAATCACCTCCATGAAATGGCTGGTGAAGTCGCATGCATCCTAAAGGGAAAATTGATCGACGCTGAAAGCCTTATCCTTTATCCTTTATAAAGTAGTACGAGGTGAAAAGCTTTTCAGCGACCTAATATGAATTCTACTGATTAGAGAGAAGCAGGTCTTCGACTAAATCTTGCAAAAGGATGTTCATGAAGAGTAAATTGGTTTTATATGCCACAGTCATGCTCATAGGAATGAATATCTCTGAATCGTTCAGCTACGTCTACCTGAGCTCGGAGATCAATATGATGAACGACTCAGCTCCAGAGTTGTGCCGGCGAAAGAGAGGAGTTTGAGGAGTTTTCAAAAGCATCGAGGAACAAGGAACAGCGGCCTCTATGTCCACATTTCGACTCCACCGCTCTTTGTGTTTTAGCGTTTTCTCAGAAACCCGGTCGCTACGTGAGCAGAGTAAAGGCTCGCTCAGAGTTATTGAACTTGTAGTCGGAAGACGATGCTAATAGTCTCCAGTGCCACGCAAGTGAGGGAAGGGATCTAAGGCGCTGATCTACGTCAACCATCGAAAATTACAGACGCACTTCTAATGTCATAAGGTGGGCCGGACAAGTAATGCGTATCAATGACAACCGTTGAAAAAGAGCCGTTAGTGAATGGATTCCTCGGGATGTCAAACGTACTGCATGAAGACCACCGACTCGATGGTCAGAGTTCTTCACGAATCCTAGAAGAAAGATATGATGCTCGATGAGTCCCTAGAGCGAGCAGAACCCGCTGAGCTACCTTGAGCGCGACGAGGAATAGAGGATTAACTGGCACCAGCTCCAGTCACTCGACAATCAACAGGACGACAAATGATAGAATAACGTGGTTCTAAGGCTCTCCAACTAGTTCTAATTTAGTCAGGCCTCTTCTCTGTTAGAGGGAAATTTGACGACGGAGATTAGGTCTTAAGTTATTAGTTGAGGAACTAAGCTGCATTCAACATAGTTCCTGAGTCTTTCAACGACCAGTTGACCGGCAAATCAAATGGGAAAAGACTTTGCCGAAAGTGTTCTTGTCACATATGAGCTGTCATTTTCTTTTCGGTCATGAGAAAATTCGTTTCTCAGGTGTCAAAAAATCGAGTTTCCGCGGAGAGAGGCATATGCCGTAGAGTACAGAACGACGAGAGAGGGGTGAAAAATGGACAATCTTTCGTTTGTAGGAATATTAAAGATCTTCACATCTGTGGTACCATTGTTTAGCTTCGATTCTGTTCTCGGAAAATGAAATTTTAAAAGCAAATCAAGGAAAAATTCTAGACGTGGTTGTAGGCCTAGACGTCATCCGGTCCCAGTGACAACATACAGGCCAAGCATTGACCGCCTCTCACTGATTAACTATGCGACGTCGTAAGCGGCAGCATCTACTACGAGATACTGGCATTTGTGTATAGCTAGCTGGGAAATTTGCTGTTCTCTAGAGTCTGCGACGAAGATTTTTCTTCAGTGGCTGGGACTCCTCTATCTACAGGATGGACCACTCCAAGTCTTGCCAAACCAGTTTGTGCATAGAAATGAGGGTCAATCCAGAGCAGGAGGTATTGCTCATCTTTCAGTTCTACCCGAATTTTGATTAAAAAAAGACAAAGTTCTCGTCGTTTATCTATCCATGAGGGATGCACCGTATATTCGACTTCATTAAGCATCGTTGAGGCTGACTGAATACATATCCGAATTTACAATGACTCGCACTGACCGACGGATGTATCGAGTCAGTGCTGCTATTCTCCCAGACAAGTTTGGTACCAATTTACCGATTTCGCAGGGACGGAAGGTTTGGTGGACCTGGGGCACGGAGAACGATCCCATGTGTTTCGAAGGGCGCATCTGACGATCACGCTACACGCCCCTTTCCCGAATTTGAACAAATGCCCATAATCGCCTACTCTCGCGCCTTTTATGCATTACACCCGTCGAGCACTCTCACGCCACGGCTCGGTCCATTATAGAATATGCACAAAAACACAAACCAGTCTCAACATTGTTGTAAAGATCTGTTTGGAATCCGCTTCCATTTAGTTCATTTTAAAGCTGAAACAATTAAAGCGCATGCAGCCTTATCAGCTTTTGCGCAAAAAGTGTGCTCACTCAGTAAAACAAGTCATATTGACTACTACAGCGGCGAAACTGCAACAATACAGATCTTCTATATCTTGTAAAATCTCAACTGGACAAGTCGAAAAAGCTAAGTGGCCAACTAACTGCAAGCTGCAATCATAATATGAAAGGAAACTAACACTTGTACTAACGGAAAAGGTCTTCAATCAATAGACCACATACTGGCCAGAAATCGACAACTTTGTAGTCTAGACATTAAGTGGATGGAACCTGGTCTCGCACGACTTTAGTTAAAGGTTAGCCAACATTATTACTAGTTTTAAAAGTTGCTGAACCTTTAGAAATAGCCCGTTTGGAATTCCAGAACAGGACTACATGTTTTAAGTTGGAAGTAACTCCATTTATTTCTATTTGCAGAACAATCAGCCACTAAATCGGACAAACACAATATAATACTCGTCTCCAAGAAACAGGATAGAAAAATACAAAACAGTACAAACATTACAATAGCACCATTTGCAGTAGCACGTTCTTTAGGAGAAATCAGTACAAAAGAAAGAACTTCTTTGGGACACAGTAGTACAAGAGAAAGAACTTCTTCGGGACACAGCAGTACCAGAGAGGGACCCTTCGAACCAGCAATTCTACAGATACGTTTTAAAGCAGCAATCCATACGAGAAAACTCTATGTTAACACCAATGAGTATCAATGCCGCTTCCGAAGTACGTGTCTAAGAACGAAAACTATTTAGGTAGAAAATTTTGAAAACAAATAGAAGCGACAAAACTCAACCTCTTCAAGGGAATCGAGAGTCAACGTGAGCGCTTCTAGAAAGAATGACGTGTAAATAGCACGAAATACATCTTAAATAAAAAGGAAAATTTCACCTTCTTTGATTTCCCATCCTCGTTGGCAAGACGCACCGCATCTACAATGAAGCGGCGAAATAAAAACTCTTCAGACCTTACGTACTGTCTTGTACTAACAATTTACAATTTTAAACACTTTTAAAGCTCTGCTAGTTATTTCCAATATTACAAAATTATACTCGGTTGGAATTTGTCACAGGTTTTTTCGCTCAAATGAAAACCGTTCAATAATGGAAACGGATTGCACACATTCAACGAAACAAACTCAGCTAGTGTACGCCTGCCTTTAAGAGCGCAGCTAACTATACAACAGCCAACTTCAGATTCTGAGATTCTGATGTGAAGATTTAAGATTTTCCAAATATGATGGCTATTCACCACAACATCAGAATAGACGAATAGAGAGCTTTAAAAAAAAACGAAATTATTACTGAACCCACTAGAATCATGATGGGATACAGAAACGGAAACAACGGTCACTGGAGAGAAGACGTCCCTATAAGTAGTTTATAAACAGAACAATTTAGAGCGATATAGTTGGTTACTTGGATGGCCCATCTTCACTGGTTATGCGGGCCCCAGCATAATTTCCAACCCCCGGAGATTTACTGGTTTAGCCACCGTGTTTCCCCATAGGCCAGAGGGCAGCCTGACCAAAGTCTACCCTAGGTCGTCACCACCATTGGCAGTTGCCCCCTTGTAGATCAGAAGAAAATTTGCCACAATGCGACTGGTTTGACACCAGTAGAGTAGTGGATCCTGGTAGTGGCTTATTCTTAGCTGGGGATCCTGATGGGAACGTCGGATTCCTTTTCAGCTTGGGAGACCTTGGTGGCGGACAAATCTCCTCGCTGCAAATTGCAGCTCGATAAGGAACACCTCCCAGCCCCGATGAAGAGGTAGATCGTTGAGAGGGTAATGAAAATCATTGGAATCTATGGAGCCTCACCCACCCACTGCAAGTTATCTTATTATATCATAAGGATGTTCTGATTTTCCAAAGCTCATTATACGAAATTATCCCACTATTTAGAGTAAAAAGTTGTATTTCGAATAGTAAATCTAGTGTACAAGCCGAATTTTGCCTAGGAAGACATAATGGTGTTCCTCAGTATATCACGGGCATTCACAACCGCGCATTTGTGTGGAAAATTTTGAAAAAACAAGTCGTTCTCAATTTTTTGAAGATTTAAATCTAACCGTATTCAAAGTCGAATAAGTGCAGTAGTTAAGATGGAATGAATGCCTAATAATTACTTCACACTAGTCTGGTACGATTTCCCGACATTAGAGGGAAGGGGGATAGCGCTGAGCTTTGGTTAACCAGTGGGCACAGATCAAACTGGAGTGGATATGTTTACAGCACTGCTCTCCTAACCAGGACGATACATGCAACCCAACATTATATGCCAAAGTAAAATAAGATTTCACGTAAGAAAAACATTTTATCAACGTCACCTGCAATCTTCGCACTGCCACTTTTCCTCCTCTCCCTCTCCATCGGGATTGTAACAGGACCATGGCGGACCGGCACAAACCCGATGACAATGTATTCCACAGGACTGCAGAAAAAGTGAAAGAAAAAACCGTCGTTCCACATTTGACTACTGGCATAAAGGTCCCATAGTATTAAAATAAAGCTTACGATGCATGCATTGAGAGCTTCATGTGGATTGAAAACTCGATCATCCAAAGCATCTTTTTCATCGTATGTACACGGACCGAGGGAACTTAAACATGACCTGTAAATATTCTATCAGAGATATGAATCCTACTATAAACACAGATCTGAAACATTAAGGAATGTGCACAGACCGCCCTTTTGCAGAGCTACGTGCCATTGAATAGTAGCATGGAGACAGCTGATTGCCATCCATGCTATCATCGCCATTACATTCATCAACGATACTGCTATAAAATGAAGCATGAGGAAGAAACGTCACCACTAATGAACCACAGATCTCGTTCATTCCACTTACTACATCTGAATAAATATTCCCTGTCGTCTGATTTTTTCTTCGAAATCAGTTTGATCATTCGGCCGATTGCACTTCGGGCAACGCATCTCTTGGCCGCGTATTATGGTAGCATTCTATAAAGGAGAATTTCAGACCAAAGAACAATGCAATGAATACGGCCAAATGAGTACCATATGCTCTTGTGAAAAACTAAATGATGGACGAATGAAGTAGTTCAATAATAGTACACCAGTAATGAATTAGGAAAAACAGTTACAATAGAAGCAATGTTATTTTGCTACTAAAGGCCTAATAAAGTGTGCGCTACTTAAGGGAAGTGAAGCTAAACAGAAGACTTCTCTTAAGAAAACTTAGCGCACTCGCGCAAGAATTCATTTATTTCTATGCATATATGAGAGTTCAGATTGTACTATGCGTATTACCTTCAATTCATTTTTAGCGTTTTTTTTGTTTCGCAGTTTTCTCGCAATATTTTTCGATAGACTACCTCAGTGTACTAGTGCCGTCTAAAAAATCCCACATTACAGAGATAATACGACAAACAATTTACAAAAGACTTCTGGACTAGCATGTTCGCTTCCTCACAAAGGGTACTGATTGTTAGAAGGAAGAAATAAAGAGAGCGGAGTAGGTGTTCCAAAAACACGAATGCGAACGACCTTTAGAAGAAAGTCATAGAGTACTACATATTTTTACGCCATTTCCACGACTAGCTCATAAGGCTGAAAAGAATTGTGCACCTTTTGCGACACTTAGTAGTAAAGTTTTAGAGGTGAGAATGATGAGGACACTGTTTAACACATAACGTACGACAAGGAAGTATATGTCCAATCGAATCGGATGGTGAGGACGATCACCTGATGGCCCGTTGATCGTCGAGTGACTCGAGCGGGCGCCACTAAATCTTACACTTTTCCCAATCGGGTGCAAAAGTAGCCCAGTGGGTTCTGCATGTTCTAGGAATTCGTTAAGCATCATACATTTCTTGTAGGCTTTCGTGAACAACCCTGATCATAGGGTCGTTTAGGTGATTATTTTATATTTTGTTCCTGGTGGCCTTCCTGCAGCACGCTTGACATCCCAGGGAACCCAGTCACTAACGGCTCTTGCCCATCGGTTGTCATTCATATGCATTACGTGTCCGGCCCATTTAATCTTCGATTGCTTGGCGTATTGAATGGCATATTTGATTTTTGATCGTTGACGCAGGTCGAAGCTTTGGATCCCATTCTTTACTTGTGTGGAACGGGATACTCCTAGCATCGCCCTTTCGACTGCGCGTTCAATAGCGCTAAGTGATCTTCCATTTTGCTTACGCAGTGACCAGGTTTCTGACGCATACGTTAAGGCAGGAAGAATCGCGGAGCCGAAAAAGTGGGAGCGCAGTCGGGTGTTGTTTATTGTCTCCACTAGATCCTCGATGCTCTTGAAAGCTCCCCAATCTGCCCGTTTCCTTCTGCTCAACTCCGGACCATGTGAACGATATGGAAGTATAAAGTACATTCTCATTTCAATCACAGAAGATAATATATATATACATATATATATATATATATATACATATACGAAAGCAGATCAATGTATGAGATAAAAATCAGATCAGAAAAGCCAACCTCTACCCATAATAGTCCACAAAAATCTTCCGAACAAGTTCATTGAGTGGCATTTTACTAACAATCAACTACAATAGTTCCCAAGATCGACTTTCTCTTAACCTCGGCATTGGAATATGAATGTGTCGTTTTCTTGTTCAGCAATCGCGAGGTTTTTAAACAGCATACATTTACTTCCATAAAAACACAATACAATACAACGCTAGCTGACGTTTCGGCAGTATCGCCTTCTTCAGAGCCGCTTTTTTCGTGACTTCCAATGAGGAAGTTTGGAACAGCTGATTATAG